CCACCCCCGCCCCCGCCAGCGAGGCCACCGCCACCGGCAGCGTGCTCGACAGCACATGCGGACCCAGGCCCAGCTGCCCCGCGCCGCCCGCGCCCCAGGCGTACACCTCGTCGGCGGTGTGTGCGACGGTGTGCGCCGCGCCGCAGGCCACGCCGTGCACGCCGCTCAGCGCCACGCGCTTGGGCACCAGCACGTCGCGGTCGGGGTGGGCCTCGCCCAGCTCCTCCACGGGCGTGCCCGGGTCGGCGGCCCCCCAGGCGTACACCTCGTCGGCGGTGTGTGCGACGGTGTGCGCCGCGCCGCAGGCCACGCCGTGCACGCCGCTCAGCGCCACGCGCTTGGGCACCAGCACGTCGCGGTCGGGGTGGGCCTCGCCCAGCTCCTCCACGGGCGTGCCCGGGTCGGCGGCCAGGTGCGTCTCCAGCACGTCGTCCGGGACGGAGAAGAGCCACTCCGCCGCCACCTCCACGCCCACGTTCCCAGTCTCGTGCAGGGCCAGCTCGGCGCGGTCCTGCGGGATCTCCATCTCCAGCATGGCGGTGAGGAAGCGCTGGTTCACGCGCCGGTTGACGCGCCGGCGCTCGCTGGCGCTGCGGTGCATGGCCGCGGCCGCCGCCACCTCGGCCGCCGCGGGCAGGCCCAGCTGGCCCTGGCAGTTGGCGCCCCAGGTGAACAGGAAGCCGTTGTTGGTCAGCGCCGCGGAGTGGCTGTCGCCTGGTGTGAGTTTTAGGGGGGGGGAGGGGCATGAGTTGGGTGCATGGGCACACGCCTGGATCCGTCGCCCCGTTCTCCCCACTCTCGCTCAGCGCCTCGCAACCACACCACCCAGACACATGCTTCGACGAAGACGCACTCCCCCCGCCACTCCACCTCACCTGCCCCCAGCTGGAGCACGGGCAGGGCCCAGAGGCCGTCCACCAGGGTGGGCGTGCGCCGGTCGGCCACGTCGCCCAGTCCCAGCTGGCCGCGCGAGTTGGCGCCCCAGGCATACACCTGGCTGGTCCCCGTGACGCACAGCGTGTGTGCCGCGCCGCAGACCACCTGCGTGATCATGAGGTCGTGCAGCATCTTGATGCTGCGCGGCTTGACCCAGTCCGGCTCCGCCCGCTCGCCGTGCCCGCACTGCCCGCGGTCGTTGGCGCCCCAGGTGATCACGTCCTGCATGGTGAAGGCCACGGTGTGCGCCGCTCCGCAGGCCATGCCCCTGCAGGCGGGGGAGGGGGTGGGTGGGAGGGGGGGGCGGATGAGAACCATGGGTTGCATGTGTGGGGAGTTGGCAGGGGGGTTTAGGCGGCCCGCATGACAGATGAGAAGGTAGTACAGGGGGACCATGCGCAGCAAGGTGTTTCCAGGAGCGGCTGCCAGTGCGGCTCAGCAGCTTCAAGCACCGCCCTGTATTCCCTCCCCGCCCCCCCTCAACCACCACCACAGACACACACAAAGTACAAACCTGACGTTCCAGCCGACCAGGAGCTCCATGCGGCGGGGGGTGTCGACCGTGGGGCCGCGACCGCTGGACATGCCCAGCTGCGCGCAGTCGTTCAGGCCCCAGGTGTACACCTCGCCCTGCAGGAAGGGATTTGGGTTGTGTGGCAGGGGAAGGTGACAGGCTGGCCAGTGAGGGGCCTGGGCAGGACGGGGGGAGGGGACAGGGGCGCCGTGGCATGGGCTCAGAACCCCCCTCTCTGACCCAGGCCGCCAGAAGCGACCGTGCGCCAGCCAGAAGCGACCGTGCGCCAGCCAGAAGCGACCGTGCGCCAGCCAGAAGCGACCATGCGCCAGCCAGGTCACTCGATGAGCATTGGTACCCTCCCTCCCTCCGTTCAACCAATGAGAGCATGCCCGCACCTGGCCAGTCACCGCGGCGGTGTGAGATGCGCCCATGGCCAGGCAGGCCCAGCGCCGCGCCACCTTGAGGGGCTGGGGCTCGTGAACCTCCTGCGCGCCGGGGCCAACGCCCAGCTGCCCACAGCTATTGTCGCCTGGGGCCGGGAAGGGGGGGGGGGAGGGGGAGGAGGGGGGGGAGGGGGAGGTGGGAGGGATGAGCCAGGATGGGGCAGGGGCA